GTCTCAACAACCTCAGTTGAGAGACCAGATGCTAGGAGCTGTGCCCCCTCAGGCACCATGCCCACAGATTCCATAACTCCGGGCGGGGGTGAAGAATGTCGCCCCCCGCCTGAGAGAGGAGGTCCCTCCTACGTTTCTTCCACATGTCTAAGGCATGTAAGCATCACAGCGTGACCTTGATCATGCAAAGCGGATTCCCCCTCGGCAAGGGTCTCATGTACAGCAGGCCAAAAGGTATCACGTTGGACGCCGCTGCCATCAGGCCCAACAGCCTTTGAAACTGTTTGACAGTGAGTCGTGAGGATTGACTCGATTCGAGCAGGAGACAGACGTGCCACTCGACGCCTAAATAAGTGGTTCTCTGTAGTGGAGAAAGAACAATCTTCTTGGCGTTTAGTCTTAACCCCAGCTCTCTCATATGGGCGAGGACGACATCCTCTGTAGTGGAGAAAGAACACTCTTCTTGGCGTTTAGTCTTAACCCCAGTTCTCTCATATCGGCGAGGACGACATCTCGATGCCAAGCCGCCATCTGCTCCGATTGAGCTAGTATTAACCAATCGTCTATGTAATTGAGTATGCGGATGCCCTGGAGTCACAGAGGAGCCAGAGCAGCATCCACACACTTCGTGAAAATGCGGGGTGAGAATGACAGGCCGAAGGGAAAAACTCGATATTGGTATGCTTCGCCCCCGAAAGCAAACCTTAGGAACTTCCAGTGTTGAGGGAGGATGGAAACATGGAAATAAGCGTCTTTGAGATCTATCGTAACAAACCAGTCCTCGGACTGGATTTGAGATACTATCTGCTTGATAGTGAGCATCTTGAACCGAAGCCGTTTGATAGCGCGGTTCAGAAGACGGCGATCTAAGATCGGACGCAACCCCCCATCCTTCTTCGGAACGATGAAGTAATGGCTACAGTGTAACCCGGACACTCTCAGAGAGAGAGAGGCGGAACACGTTCTATGGCCCCCTTCCTCAAAAGAGTATCTACTTCTTGTTCCATTACCAGAGCCTGCTCGGGGCCCACTAGTGTGGGGATGACCCCGTTGAAACGAGGCGGACGAGAACCGAACTGGATTCTGTAGCCTTACTCTACAATCTGCAGGACCCATTTTGAGATATTTGGTAGAAGTTTCCACACTACCAGAAAATCTACTAAGGGAACCAGCCTCTCGAGGCTGGCCTCTGGTATTATTACAGGAGCCAGTTCGGTGCCCTGAAGCGGATGACCGGCAGGGAACGACCGACCTGACTGCTGTAGCACCCTCACTTGAGGGGGCGAGCTCTCCCGTGCCGTACCGTTGCCGTGAGGGCACTGAGGAGGATTGGGCACCGTATACTGAGGTGTTATCCTTTCCTCCCCAGGTGGGCTGCCCTCAGGGACCTGACAATGTTAGGACCATTTAGCCGAAGTCCTCTTAGACAAAATAACGGTCCACAGATCCGTTTATTTGTCTAGAAGACCCCGACTGAGAGCATCGCCCTGACCCCCGATCTTTCTGTGGAGGGGTGCGGGTTGCAACGCTCTGTTTTTGAGACTGGCGATATGAGGAGCTTGATGGCTTTGGCTGCTCCCGCTCAGCAGTCCCACCCCTGAGCAGGTCAGCCTGGTATGCTTGTAACACCGCCATGGTGTGCAAACATGCGCCAGCCTGACCTGCCGCCGTAT